AAAAAAAACCTGATTTTTAAAGTTTCAAACTATAAACCTTATTTTTGAATTGGTGTAAAGAATACACCTTATTTATGAATTTTTCCCTATTTTTAGCCCCTTAACTTGGCCCATTGAGAGTAAGTCTTGACCCAAAACAAAAACTAATGCCTATATACACATAGCCGTGGGTTTTCTTCAGTTGGTGTGCATGGAAGTTTGCAAAAGAGGAGAGAGTTGAGAGAGGCAGCCCGTTTTGGTGAGTTTTTTGTATGAGATTCAACATTTGTTTATCTTCTCCTTCCTCTCTTTGTTGCATGCAAAAACGACCACCAAGTGTCTCCTTTGTGGGGATAAAACTGAGGCAACCAAAGGTGTTAGAGTTGTTGGGTCGAGCATATCGATTGGTATGTGTTTTGGTTTTGACTTCCAAGCTCGGAATCAAGATTTCTCGGGGGGTTTCCGCAACAACATTTGTAGCAATTTGATTACTCAATAAATTTTTGGAATATTAATAAACCTAGGAAAGAAAACGAATTAATTTAATTAATATGATAAGTTTGGATATTTTATTTATATGTAACTGGAGAAAATAATAGTAAAATTTGAGAACTTATCATTTTGATGTTTTTCAAAATTTGCTGTCAGATTAATCAGTTTCTTAAAATTTATCAAACATCTGAAACAACTCATTATAAAACCCGAATTTTGACTCTAAAATCAATCTCAGATAGGACCAAAGTCGATCTGTTTAGTGGCAAACTAGTCCAAACATGACCTATTTGAGGTTTGGATCAGGTCAAATCGCCTCATGCATGGAGGAATAGTCTATTTTACAAGTTGCTTGCTCCCTGTTTCATTCAATGCAACGATAGGAGCGCAACTTTTTTTGAATAGATACGATTCAAGCAATGTTGATTCATTAGAAAAATTATTTTCACAAGGTAATTTTGTCACGTCTTTATTTAAATCTCATACAAAATTAATGCAAAACAATTGTTTTTGCTTAAAAGAGAAGATCATTTTTAATTTACAAGTACAGAAAAATAAGAGAACATTTTGGTACTCAAATTTTAATAGTGTAATGTCTTAAAAATCTTATACCGAATAAAGTCGAGTTCAGCCTTTTAAATCTATTTTTATTATGTCATTCAATCCAAAACCACCTCTTAGAAATACGTCAAGTAAATCAAATATTTTGCAACCACTTCAAGTTATATTAATTTAATTTGCATTTTCTATTCTAGATATTATACTATGCCCATGTTCGCCCCCATTTTTTAAAATTTATTTTTTCTTCAAACTTATTTTCAATAATACATTTTATAGGATCCACAACTTTTATTAAATTTTTTGACCATATATTTCATTAATTTTTATTAAAATTTACTAAAAATTTGATGTTTACTTTTTAGCTAAACCGATTAATATTACTTTGTTTTCCTAGATTGAGATTCTTTATGGGAAGTTACCTCAAACTCTTCCCTTAAAGTTTCAATTTCAAAAATCAAATATTTTTTCTTTCTTTAGATCCCTCATATATTTCTTCACATGGCAGCGCAAGTTATGGTTCGCATACTATGCAAAATCCAATTTTTATGTTAATCTCTCTTTTTAGGGGCGTGTTCGGTCGTGATTAAAATCCAATTAAAATTGAAAATATATCCGTTATTAGATCTCACCCGTCTAATAAAAATCAACAATAACGACTAGTTTTTCAATTTTAATCTGATTTTAATCTCTACCGAACACGCCCTAGATCCCTAACATATTTTGGCACATGTTCTTAATTGATTTCAAATCTGGAGCTTGTCGTGGAATAAAATAGTTTTTAATGGATTTCAAATCTGGATGACTGTGTGGTGGAGGGTTTACGGTGTACAGATAATGTGGGTGGTGAAGCGGGTGGTTGCACATGGTGGTGGTGTGGTGGAGGTATAGTGGTAGTGTTAGTAGTAATGATGGTGATAATGTGACATCATTTTTGGTACAGATCTGCGTGGTGGTAGTGAAGTGACATCAGTATTTTTTTGGTGGGGTGGGGTGGGGTGGGGCTGAATATTGTGACCAATTATTGAATAATTGTGAACAATAAAACGAGTAATTTATGATTAATAAATAATATGTTTGTGACCAAATTTTTAACTATGACATATAATTTATGGTTTTGTGATCGATAAATAAGTTGTGACAAATTAATTTAATAATTTATTATCGTACAATGAGTTGTGACCAATTAATTTAGCAAGTTGTGACCAATAAATAGTATGTGACTATAATTATTGATTGTTACGTACATGTAGATGAATATTTTCACATTTTTAATAATATGAATGATGTTTGTTACATTAATGTGGATGACATATTGTTTATAATGATTGCTATCAAATAAAATTTGTGATAATATATTTATGATAACAAGTCATAATTAGACAACATGTACGCAGAGAGTCACAGTTAACATATAAATGTTCATAAATTTTTAAATGTAAACATGTTTTGTTACAAACATTCGCTGTTAACAAATGTCTGATTACACATCATTATTAATATAGACTTCGTCAAATACAATCATAGTTAAGATAGACATGATCATAGACAATCACAATGAAAACAAATTTGATCACAGTTGGTCACAGATAACACGTGACTGGTCACAAACAATAATAACTTATTCAAACATTGTCATAAATAATAACAGCTTACACAAATCTAATCACAAACATTCACTGTTAAACAGAACCTAATCGCATAAAGCGCAAAACACATAGTCAATATGTCACAGTCATACTGAGATTTTATAAAATACAAAAATCTGTTCAGAAATTATGAATTATGAAATTAAAAAAAAAAAACTGTTCAACAAAAAATGCACCAAATTAAATGTTTATCGTCTAACAAACTTTTAATGATGAGATTATAAATCAATGGTGCACAAGAGAACAAAAATAACTCTTTAGATCGTCGTCTTCACAATGAGTATGATGTTTAGTTGCCTTGGCAATAACCATACTGAATATATTCGATCTCCTCATCATCTTCTTTCATCCAATGCTTGTTTTGTGTGCATTCCACCAAGATGAACCAAACTGCTTTTATATCTCCTCAGCAATTCCAAAATGCTTATAAATCAATTGTATGTTGAGCTTGATGTATGCATACCTTTAAAATCTGATCACATATTAACTCTATGTGCTTTGGGAAAATCAGATTACTGAAAATACGAGCTTCATTTTTTCCAACTAAACGAATTTCATAAATTTTCCATCTGAATTGTATCTTTCATAAGTTGAAGAGGAATGTTGTGGCTCCAAATCGAAGATTTTTGGGAGAAATTGTAGTGATTCGGAGAGAATTTCGAAAATTAGGGATTCTAGAGAGAGAGATATTGTTTGATTGTGGATGAAGAGATAGATATAAATGGTAGAACTCCATTTTTGGGAGATCTAGTTTGAGTTATATTTTGATCCAAAATTAAACTATATTAATTATATATTATATATATATTCATATATTATTATATTCCATTTACAACCGGATTTTTGAAGCTAATTTGCAAAATTGTTAATTATTAAAAGTTGTTCTTAGAGTATAGTGATTGTGTATTTTTTCCGTTCTTAATTTATATTCTATAATATATCTACTCGTTGACATCTAATCTCATTTTATCAGTCTTGTGGCACTAACACATTCATTTTAAAATCTAATTTCTATTGATTCACTTCATAGTTCTTTTAACAGCATAGCACTCAGTATCACATAATCACAGTTGAAGCGATGGTCTCTATGAGGAAGACCCCATAGAAGCTTCTCCCGTCTCTAACCAAAACTGAACAACTCGAGATTACTTGACTATATTGATTACATAAACTAACGCTTAGAATCTGCTTATACAGCTTATGAGCAAATGCACAAATATTTTATCACACACTTGCTGGATATTATCATCAAGATGAGAAATGTAGAAGGAAGAGCGAATAATGAGGTTTGATTGAAGCAAGAGTTGAATCTCTTTCGTTAACACGGATTAGTCCCAAAGGTGCCAATAATTGAAGTGCAATCGTCTCCCAAAATATAGCAATATCTTGTTGAGTTATAGAAGCAATTCAAATTTCAAGAAACGGTGAACTGAAAATGTATTTCATACTCTAATTATGAGTGTAGGTAATGCAGGTATGCAGAGCAGATAATGGGAATATGATGAATGTGTCAACTCAGAATGGAAGCAACAACTTTTTTTATAGAATAATGTTGTTCATAGTGAAAACTACCGGCATTCGCTCTACGTGGTATACACATGACAGTTTGTTAGTACATCAAATAACATATTATCATGTGTACATCACGTATGGCCACTACTAGTAGTCTTCACTATGAATAGCATTACTTGATATTCATTACTTAAGCAATTAGCTTATCATTAGTAATTACATAGACTTGTGTAGGTGATTCAACTTTATATTTATTACCAAATCCACGGGATTGGCCATTGTATTTTCCTTGTACAGAATATTGCATTAGTTACCACATTCCAGGAAACCATTGTGGTGCCCCTTTGTCCTTGTATGAATAAATGTATGAACCTGGAACTTTCAATTCATGATATCTGTGTATACCAGTATGAACTTGATTGTCATAGGCAGTTTTCACGTAGAGGCCACAGAAAAGTACAGCATACAAGCCCACAAAAGGCACAAACATGTGCAAGATTTAGCAAGCAAGAACAAGGGGCACTAACAAAAGGGTGGCTCAACTGAAGCAAAAAAGCTAAACATAATACATAGAACAATCTCTTACTAGATTGGTCTGATATAGAACTAAGATCCTTTTCGGCTTCGGCTACCAGGACCCCCAACATTTCTCATTTGGTTGAAACCAGTAGGATGCAAGTCTCTATGACCAGTTGGACTACCTCGAAGCCCCTGGGATGGAGAACGAAGTGAAGAATTTGAATCGCTTCCTCTTGCAATCTCTGACTCCAAAACCTTGGCTTCATCAGCAAGCATTTTTAACTGTTTCAGCAAAGAAAAATACAATGCATGTTTGTAGCACCCGGCTAGAGAAAGATGAACAAATTAAATGATCAGAAGGATCAAAAAATGTCCGTTAATATTTTAATACACGAACAAGAGGAAATCTTGTATTATTGGTTTTAAAAAAGGGTGAGAGAATAACAGAGAATAAAAGAAATGTTTTGGAACATACATATTTCAGAAAATCAAGCAATTTATTGATTCTCTCTATATTATTAACTTCTTGAAGTAATTAGTAAGAGAGAGCTTCGGTATCATTTCAGGAAACTGTCAACCATTCAACTCTCCAAGAAAAAACATTCTGAGGCTAAGTTTTCAGCAAAAACATTAAAACTTTCTCAACAGTTTCAGCATATGAAAAAGGCTCAAGTTTAAAGGGAAAGCCAGACGGAATTGAATGTAGGTCTTTCTCTAATTTTGTTTGTTTCTTTATTTAAAAATGATAAAACTGGAAAAAGAAATTCTACAAGACATGAAAGCCAAAATGATCATTACCCGAACTTCATTTTCTCTTGACTGATCTTGAAGAACGTTTATGGCAGGAGTTAAGCTGCAGGGTACGTAACATGATACATTTAAGCAAATGCCAAGCTGAAGTTTCTGGTGTAAAAGATCGTACTGCTTCTTACCAATATTCTATCATTTTGCACATGGAAGCCTGATAAGTTGATGTGTGATGAATATAAGTAAGCGGGTGCACTTTTCCTTCCCTGCCAAAGTTGCACGAAATGAGTACAATGAAATAAAAAAGAACTGGTAATGCCTCAATCAAGCCACAGAATATTACCTCATATTTTGAATGATTGCTTGTTTATAAGCAGTCCGCTCCTCTTCATATAAAACACGCTGAAGATTTGCAAACGAAGACAAAGGTGAATCCAGGTTGAGAAGGGATGAGGTTGGGAGCACATGAAGAGGAATTTCCTTTCTGACAAATTCTGCACCACTGCCAGAAAACAAAAACGTACATATAGGGAAGATCATTATACGCCAACTGTTAAATATACTTAATGCCACCTCTATTGTTATGAGTGAAGAACAAATAAAAGTAAAATGCGGTAAGAAACCAGAGTCAGGATGGAAAGGAACTGAATCCCTTCTATACATTTTGAATGAAATACTATAAGAGGGAACACACGTCAACTGACCAAAAATCATAAAAACAGACCAATTACATCATCTGGGCTTCATACAAATATCTCATCTATACATGCACGTGAGATTTCCTGAGATTGAGTTGAATGCAACTTAAAAACAAAGAAACGCAAAATAATTGGGCTGATAGGCAATACAAGAAAAGAGATAACGAGCTCTTCACAGGCGATTATATAAACATAAAACTTATTTTTAGTAGTTCAGTATCCATCATCAAATAATCAATTGTCAATAAAACACTTAATTTGATTTCTTCTGATAGTGTACCAAATTCGTTTATGCAGTTAAAATGAACTCATTCAACTATATGGATAGCCAAAGCCTAGAATTCCTATAGCATGCCCTGTAAAAGAATTTCGGTGACCTTCCATTTCTTCCCCTCTATCTTATGCTTTTCGACTTTACGAACTTCCAAGTTCCAAAAACATTTTATGCATGATGAGCAGTCAAGACAAATGGCACTTCAGCAAAGTTAGCAGCTAAAGTCTCTGAAGGTTTTCTTCAACAGCAGCTTTATCCATATTCATTAGGTACTCTCTCAACAAACAGGCAATTCAATGCCAAAGTAGTAAATACAAATATGTAAATTGTTGATACTGTCTCCAAGAATATCCATCTTTCTGTTCTGGGATCTCCTAAAATATTGTTCACTTTCCTTGACAGAGTAGTTTTGCGAAAAAAAAAAAAACCCCAAATAATTCTAAATTGACATCGTCACTGCAGACTTCAAGTGCATTCCCCACCTTTATCCTCCTTTTTACCAACTTTAAGGGAACTATACTTTACTTTTATCAAATGAAAAGGCATATTTATTTTTGCATGTCTCAACTCTCTGAAACCCATGTAGAGAATATGATCCATCTCTAGACATTGGAATGGTTGAGATACATCCATGAAGAAAGATATTGGGAAATAATAAAAAGAAAAGGGAAGAAAATGTCTACAAGATTTCAAATATCATTTTGCAAATGCTATTCCACATAATAAAATGTGATATCATATACCAAAAAGGGGAGATCCTCATATCCTCTAGATGGCAATTCAAAGACATGAGAACAACTAGCTGTTGTGTTTGCTTTTCCAAATTTATCATTCAATTAAGGAATTAAGCAAGCTCAGTAAGATTTTCCAGCTTTGTGGAACTTTTACAGGAATACAACTACTGCTGCTCAATTAAAATGGATATTGTCAGTTGTCTTTGGTTTTCACTTTAGAATTTGTCGTCTTCTTCTTTCTGGCTGCCCCTTTTGTCCTTCTTTTTCGAATATGTTCTCCAACATATTGCACTAAAATCAAGCTAATTTTTCATAATGCTAATGCTTGAAAACAAAAAGAACACGTTCGAAGAAAGGATAGAAACTGATTTGAGAACATACTCATTTTACCTCATCTCCAAATTGGAAAGGTGCATTGCTTCCTGCATACCATCTGACATCTCCACGGGATCTAAATCATGAATTGCATTATTTAAATTGTTCGCATTGTAATTGTCTACCATTCTGGCATCGGCATTCCCAGAAGATCCTCCCAAGTCATGTGATTTATCCCCGACCTAGCCAATCAGTTAGAATTGACGTACATCAGCAATCAAAAGTCAAAACAAATAACATTCTGAATTGAAAGTTACAATTGTCATTCTAAGAAGACCAGTCTCACAATCAGCAAACTCTATACAAAAAATTGATCAACAGACACCATCCAAACTGTTAAATTCATTTTCATCATTCAGGAAAGTAAGTATGGTTCATGTTTCACCTCAGAATATCTAAGTCTAAGTGAGTAACAGAGTTGCAAAACGAAAATTGAAAGGAGAAAAGCTTTCCTAAAAGATACAGAAGGGATGCAGGGAAATCAGACTCACCCAGGTTTGTTTAAATATACCTTAATTTCTACGGTAGTTGCACCAGAATTGCCAGTGTCCTGTTCAATACTTTCTCTGATAGGGCCTGATCTAGTCACTGCGTTCTCTGAGGAACTTAAAGATGATTCAATATCTATAAAACTTTTATGTTGTGGGGAAATAGAAACAGGTCTAACAATGTGGTTCTGCTTTCCATCTGAAGACTGAAATGCGATGACTTGAATCCTTCCAACCTACAATGATTTTCGTTAAAATTATAAGGCATCTTTTGCAAATACAACTTAATACAAAAATAACACAAACCTTTTGCGCATCTTCGCTGAAACATGAAAATATCAACCCAATGAAACCAGAATCCAACAGTTGATACATAGCCTGAGTCCGCACATCTGAAGAAATCACGTGGTGGCACAACTGATAAATAGACTAATTTCACGTGACAAGAAAAAAATTAATGCTTACAAAGATCTAATATACTAAAATGTATCCTAGGAAATTATTAGCTTATTTCCAAGAAAACAACTAAATCCTTTCTAAAAAAGTGACGATTATCATCACATCTAAAGTTTGGTCACCTTATCCATGATGCCAATTTAGAAAATATAGAAAAGGATTCTATCTTAACCCATACGTTAAGTGATGATTTTTTAGAATCTATGCACATTTCTATAGAATAGGCCAGTATCTGGCTTTTTCCAATAAAATAAAAGTCAAAATAACAATTAATATGTTTTTAGTGAAAAAAGCATCACCATGAGTCCACGAGATTTTATACCACTAAGTTCAAATTGACATTCTGGTCATCTGAAAATTACTTCAGCTACTTAAAGTCTCACAAAATAGAAAAAAAACACATTAAGCACCTGTTTGGTTCCATTATAATGTGTTCTGGGGGAAACTTTATTTTGGAAAAGTAATTTTTTTGAAGAATGTGTGGTTAAAAAAGAAAGAAAAGTTCTGGGTTTACATATAATATTCTTTTATTGGAGAATGTGTGCTAAAAAGAGGAAAGAAAAAAATATTTGGATAAAATGGAGCCCAAACAGGGGCCAAGTAATATTGTAAAAATGGACTACAGTAAATTCATCGCATATTCGAATGATCACACAATTCCTGGCTGCTTGATGTTTAACAATAGCTACATACAATAACGAGTGAATATAAACCAGTAAAAAAAAGTACAATTAAATATAGAAGCAATATTGAAAAGCTCACCAACATGAGATGGGAGAACTGTAATGTGAGGATGTGAATGGTACCAGCCAATCACCCTGGTTGTTATTCCTGTTGCCATGGTAACTCTGTGCTATAAAGTTAATTAGACAAATAGAGTCACTGATTGGTGGACCAAACAACACAAGCCACACTCGAATGCGAACCGTATTCCCCATTGTGTGAGTTTTCACTCCACATACTTGTGTGGATATCTAAGTGTAAGAACCTGCAGAATCTAGCTATCAAATGGCAAACTAGATTTTTCTGAACCCATTGTAATCCACTAAATTCAGTCACACAAATAAGGTATAGAAATAGATAAATTCATAAAAATTTTATGGGAAAATGTTCCAACTAGAACCAGTATTATTTTGCATTCTGCAAAGTAGCAAAACCCGAACCATATTAATATTATGCATCAATTTTCATTACAACCAAGAAATCAAGGAAGAGTACGTATCGCAAAAAAGGATATTTCAGCATGAGCTGATGCGGCAGTCAACTGTTCTGGGTTAGTCTCTACCCGATCCTTTCGACGATCAGAACGAGGTTGTGGCAGGGCTCCCCATATCAATGCGGTCACATTTCCATTCCTTGAATGCTGCATAAAACAAGAACCATTTTAATTATTTGTTTAGAAGCAAAATGTAATACCCAAACTGAAGAGGAGGGCTAACACTACGTTCATCTTTTGCATTTGAAGTCTATCATTCTATGAGCACTCATGCCTATTCAACATAGTTGCATTTTCTGAATTTTCAAGGAAAATCTCAATAAAGGTACTAGTCGAAAGGTTGCATCAGCGAAAAAGAAAACCTTCAATGTTCTTCAAGGTCTAAGACCTTTAGATAAAATGCAATGGAGACTATAAAAGGTTGTGCCAACAAGGTCTCACACAGATTATAGTACGTAGTTACCATAAATCTCTTTAGCAATAAGATGTTAGTCAACATCAAAACTAATATCCAGAATCAATAAAACCAATTCTAAATTAACTTAAAATCCAAAACATCCACAGAAATATCTATAAAATCCCATTCGTGGAGAATGCCCATAACCATCATAAGAAAATATGCATATCAAGTTTGAACTTGATGAAGTCCTGCAAAACCCCATTCAGAATTCAATTGAAAAATCCAAATTTTCCAAGTGCAGATTAAATTCCGGCCAGAAAACAATCTACGTTAGAATTTCAGGGGATGTCAATAATCAATACAACTAAAATCGACAGAATAAAACACTGTACAGAAGATTCAATCAAAGAACAAAAAAAGATAACCATAAAGTATAATTATTATACACAAAATTAAGTGTTCAACTTTATGAGCAAACCCCATAAAAAATGTGAAATCCAAGTGACAGGCAAAAAATAATCCACCTGAATGTCACCAAGAAGAAGACCCATGATCTCTTCGGTCTCAGTAGACAATGCATGAGTCAGACATGTCAACCACACTTCCTCCGACATCTTTACACTATTTAGAGACATCTCTATCTTCTTCCTATCTCTGATATGTTTGTGTATGTATCAAAACCCTTCTTCTAAGTTTGTGAAAACCTATTTCCTCTCTGTCTTCGTCGGAACCCTCTGAAAATGGCTTCAGAATGGTTAGGGAGTTTGGGGTAAAAAAATTGGGATCTTACGAATTGTGTTGACAGTGGGTCGTAATTTCGATATGATGCACTCTCTCTAATCAGATGTTTATTTCCTGTTTTGTTTCCTTTTTCTTCTATGTCATAGACTTTCTCTTTTGTTTTCAATGTTCTGGCTTTGTTAAATTAAATTTTTCCGACAAATAAAAAATAAATATTGAGGTCCCTGAGGACGTAGCTCGATTCTTTCAATGTATCAACACCTAATACGTCTAACTATATCAAGTCTAAAACGAGTCAATTAAAAGTTAGATTGTCCCGAGTTTAGAACATTTTTAAAATGAAAGTTGAAAATTTAATTATACATACCTACTCTCATCACTATGTATTTTTCTTTAAATTTTTAATCGTTATGTCACATCTATCACCAGGCTAAATAGTAAATACAACCCTTGAACCACATTGGAACCGTGTAAAAATCTGTTCCCAAAAAATGAGAAAAATTGTAATAGTAATGTTATTTGAATAATGCTATATGTACATCATTTATAACCACTTGGATGGCATACTCTCCTACATGGAGAAAATCTGTGCAGTGACGTGATGAATGAATTCAAAATCATAAATGTAAATGTTGCCGTGTGAAAGTGTGTAAATGAATGTGTAAAGAAAAGTGTACATGTAGCATGATTGATGTTATTTATCATCACGATGATAGAATATTGGTGATATAGTAATTTATTATCCCTCACATTTCCCTCCCCTTCCCCCTTCTCGTTAAAATTGAAATGTCAAATCTCATTATCCCACATAAACTACCACATCGTCGATATTCCATCATCATAAGGATAATTGTCATTTAAATTGTAACATTACTGTCAAAAAAATTTAACAAAATAGCATTGTTGACGCACTATTTTAAAAAGTAGCCGAACCTCAAAAAAAATTCGCAAAAATGGCAAGAAAAATTGAAAAACACCGATTCAATTTTTAAGTCCCACAAGTAACAGATAAATTAAGGTAGTAGAACAATACCAATGCAATTAAATCAAGAATATAAGGTCAACACTTATGAATTTCTTTTAAAATATATTATTTTTCACCGTATTTCAATGTGACAACGTACTTTGCTAGAAATCTACCAATACAAGAGTTCAACAAATTTCGCGTATTAAAATATAGAAATTGTTACAAATTATATTTTTGAGAAATACAAATGAATATTGATCTTCTTGTGCCTACAGAATTGCAATATCCTCTAATTAATGAAATGAATGTTTGAAAATAATGGGCCACATGGCTTGGATCTTGGATTTCGATATTTGTTGAGAACTTGCTTGTTTGGCACTTGAATTTCAGGGCTTAAATTTGCACTTCGGGATTTGAACTTGAATTTGATTTGATTTGAAGAAAATTTTGATCTTCTTGGACTTCACTTGAACCTGCTTAATTTGAAAAAGACTTTGATCTTCTTAGTGTTTGTCTGACTAAGTTTGAGAGGGTTCCTTCTCTTCCTCGGACTTTAGAATTTATTCAACACTTTATGATTTTCTTCTATACCTTCACTTGCGAAATTTTTTATGGACCTTTGGTCCTATTTATAGAAAAAATTGTAACCAAATTGATAATCACCTAATTAATAACCTTTAATTAATAAAAGATAATTGAATAATTATGGATTTTGAAAAAGTGCGATGGACCTCTTAATTTTATGAACCACTTTAATAAAATTAATTGGGCTAATGATTTAAATGGACAAAATTAATTTATTATTCTATTTTTTTATATGTCTACAAATTCCCCCTCAATATTTATTTATCATGAAAATTAATTAATAAATCTTGAATTTAAATTTGAGTTTTTTATTATTATTATTATTATTTTTTTTTTTTTTTGGTTTCCATCGCCAGCAGAAACAAAAATTGGTTTCCGCTTTTTCTTAATTGTCATTTTATTCTGACTTTCTTTTTTGTATTAACTTTTATAGTATGGTTGTCTTGATAAAATTGAAACTAACATTTTTCATTTTTTAGGGATTCTAATAGCCCAAGAGCGGCTAACCAAGAGGGGGTGAATTGATTATTAAAACTTTTTCAAATAATTAATATAAGTTCAAGTAAGTAAAGACTAAATAGATAAATTCAAATAAAAAGTGCAATAGTAAATGTAATAAGTAAAAATGAGAGATCATGCAAACGATACAATTGTGGAGGTTCGATCCACAGCAATTATCTACGTTCTCCATGACCAAGCTCTCCAACACGAACAATGTCTTTTCACTCTATTGATTGACTTATGGTGCAATTCAATCATTTACAACGCTTCCAGTGACTTATAAACAAGGAATACCAATCATTATACAATGTTGAGATTTTCGGGACCTCAACACGACCCACAAATTTAAACGGAAGTTGATTTTACAATTTGAAATTTCTCTCTTAATAAAAGGTATGATCAAATAAAGTATCAATAGATAAATAGGCTAACATTTTAATAAATAGCAATGAATGAAACTCAAGTGTTAGGTGAAAAAAACATTGATGAGTAGAATTATTTTCAAAAGTTAATTCAATCAAAAGTTTTTAAAGTGAATGATTTGATAAAGATAAATCAATATAACATTGTTCAAGAATATCTCAAATAAATGCTCTTAAAAGTGTTTTATTAAATGTAGAGTGAAGTAGTATTTATAACAGTCAAAAAGTCAAAATTTCTGACAAATTGGATGACCCATCCAAACGTCTTCATACTAAACAGGACAGCCAAACTAGTCGTAGTGCATCAAAAATCAGAACGGTTAAAAATTTAATCGGTTGACCAACCGAACGTTTGCTAGCGTAACCGTACGTCCGCTTGGACAATTTTATCCCGAATTTTTCTTTCTTGATTATTTCGAAAAATGTAGGTTTTTTAAAGACGTTTTCACTTAATTTTTCTTGGTAAGTGATACTTGTAAAAAGTTTAAAATATCAAGTTGAAGTTCTTATTTTTTGAAAAATAATTTTTATGCAAACATTTCTATGAAATAATTTTTCTCGTACATAAAAATTCATATTTTGAGTTTTTAGTGAGTCATTGCTAAGTATTAAAGAATTTTACCTTTACATATATTCCCAAAGCATCTAACTATAATATCTTCAATGAAGACTGATTTGACGTAAGTGCTTAATTTGTTCGTCTTTGATTGATTTGAAGTGAATGCTGGCTTTCATCTCGATTTTCTTTGATCATAAATTGCGACTCGTTTGGTAGCAATTTAATTTTTTGTCTCTAATTGATCAACTTAGCTACAATAGCTATTACGATTTGAGTTCAATTGTAATAGATAAAAAAACAATTTGTTTGTTATAATCGAAATATGATATCAACCATAGGTCAACAGATTCGACCTTTGAAACGGGTCAAGAATTTTGAGGTTCGAGATTTTCTTCTTGGAGAGTTTAAATTTTCATACTCCAATTATTTTAGGAGTTCAGAAGATATTTTCTTATGAACTGACTCAAAATTTCAGACCGTTTCGTGCACATTTTGGACCAAAGACTACAACTTTTCACCATCCAAGGCACTTTGCGTTGAGAACCAAGGAACCTTTCACCATCCAAGGCACTTTGCGTTGAGAACCAAGGACCGACTCATTCAACCATCCAAAGCATTTTGTATTAATGATCAAGGACTGACTCTTTTGAATTTCCAAGGCTCTTTGTGTTGAGGATCAAGGATCGACTGCTTTGACTATTCAACGCACTTTGTGTTGGGGATCAGTATCGGCTCCTTTAACCGTTCAAGGCTACTTGCCATTTATATATTTGGGAGACTCGTAATTTTAGATGATAAATCTAAAAAACTAAATTTAAAAGATTTAATGTTAAAAAAATTGCTTATTTTTATTTTCTGATTTTTTCTTTTATTTATTTATTTATTTTGTATGAATGGCCGAGATAAACTCCAATAATAAAGTATCCCAATATGCACAAAATTATCGAGTTTAAAAATCAAGGTAAAAGTTATCTTTATTTTAAATATATTGATACAAAGTACTATGACCAGTTCAACACACGAGGTGAACTTCAATTCAGCATTCATAAAGCAACGACATCTTCTCCTAGTCCTTCTATGCATTTGTCGGAATTACAAATGCCTATCGTGAGTGAAGGCCATGAGAATTTAGATGCTACCCAGTCTAGCTATTCTAGCAACCATCTTTACCTTTTCTGTCTTTCGTCTTACCATTCCCAAAGCATGGAGCTCATCCCAAGGACAGTAGCTTCTAAAAGGATTGACAATAAGGAAATACAATGGGAAAGTGCACCCATCAGTCGTAAAGAGATATCTTATCATCTAAAGTTTTGAGAGTGGTCTACTTGGATCAAAAACTCCTACTCAAAAGGAATATTCGCGATTTAGCTTCTACAATCAGGTCTGCTACAAAAGATTATCATCATCCAAACTCTATCTATAAAGCTTTTTGTGAGGTTTGTTGTCCAAGTACTAACACTTTTGTGATTGCAAGTGGTGAAATTGACATTTCTCTTTTGGACATTCGTGAGATTAAAAGACATTCAATCATGGGTCATTATTATCAAGAAGTAATCCCAAACCTTTCAGAGTTGATAGATGATCTCCCTAAGCCTTGCTTGTATCTTTTTAATGTTCTCTCATTAATTGCTAACGAGAAAGAATTTAACTGCGTTATTCATGCTGCTTAGGTTGAATTCTGGTTTTGAGAAAATGGTTATGCCCAAATCCTAGACAAAATAAAGTGTATAAAAATGCTAAGAATTTAAATCTGTTCAAAAGGCATCAGCAAAGAGCATCAATAGAAATAAAGAGGCCCATGGTTGTAGACAAGTTGAAAGATATATTTCTTAGAGATTGAGGTCATTTTAGTGATTTGTC